TGCTGTCGCCACCTCCTGTGATCTCGTGTGACCCCCACCTGTCTCACCTACCCAGCCCAGCCAAACCTAACTGGTTTATATATATATATATATATATATATATATATATATATATATATATATATATATATATATATATATATATATATATATATATATATATATATATATATATATATATTTAGATATCACCTTTTATGAGTTTTATTATATTGTTCCATTAGAAGCATTATTATTATTATTATTATTATTATTATTATTATTATTATTATTATTATTAGTGAAATACTACACACAGACTACAACCCACAAAATATTGTTAGAGAAACTTTTATTCCCTCGTTTTTTATTATTTGTTTGTTTGTTTGTAGTAGTATACCGTATCGGCTTCTCCGTTTTAGTAAAATAACTTTTCTTGGCTGGGGAATGAGAAAATTAAATTTAAGAACATGTAATTAAAACGAAACTTGTTTTACGTGTACACTTTATAATACCCAAAAAACTTCTGTATAGAATATAAAGATCTTAACCAGGATACCTTAGAAATGCTTTGACTTCAGGTGGGTACTGAGGCTCAACCCTGACCTCTTCTTGACCTGGAGGGCGATATTGCCGGTGAGTACGTAAAAGCTACAACTAAACGATTTTTACCTACAGGAATATATGTAGCCCGATCGTTATGCCCAGATTATTATTTTTTGTAACCAGATAACTTAAACAATTTCAGTGTAATAATACTTCTTGAACTTATTGTGTATTCACCTGTATTTTTGTAGCCTTACTATCTTAATAACTTGATTGAGAATTACTTTAGGATCACATGAAGATTAAACACCCTGGGTGAACATTTTGGAGTGCCTAATCTACATGTGATATGAATCTCTCACACACACACACACACACACACACACACACACACACACACACACACACACACAAAACACCCACTTGACACACTCGTCAGTACCCATGAGAGGGTCTGGTGGGCCCTGAGTGGTGTTTTGGCAGGCTGGTGCGAGGTCGTTCACCTTTCTCTACCAGGTGATTAGCTGAGCAAGTAGCCATCACCGCCCATTATACCTGGCTTCCTTAACCCCTTACCTGCCTTGGCACCTCTATGCCTTCTCCTCACCTCCCTTCCTTGCCTCTACCATTCCCTCTTTTCACTCCCTTCCTCTCCTTTCTACTCCCTCCCTTCCATTCCTGTCTCCTCATCTCGCCTTCCCTCTCCTCACCCCCGTTCCCCTTATTCTTCCCTCTCCTCCTCTCACTTTCCTTCACCTCCCTTTCCTCCATCTCTCTCCTCTCCTCTCTCTTAGCTTCTCTTATTTTCTCATCTCTCCTTATTATCTTCTCCTCTCACTCCATCTCTCCGTCTGGTTCTTTAATCATCCTTCTCTCCCCCAAATATCATCATTAACTCGAATACGCTGGATAACTTCAAACATAGGCTGGCTGGATATATGAGCAATAGGGGTTGGGTGTAAACGGGCCTGCCCATTATGGACCAATATACCCGCTGTAGTTTCCTCCATTCTTATGTTCTTGGCACGTACTCAAGGAACAACTTGGGTTGATATGTCAGACTTGGTAGTACACACACACACACATACACACTAGCGACATCTCGTCTCCACACTAGAGAGTAAGTCAATTCTCATGACAAATCGCTTAAGGTGCGGCTCCCTTTGTGACCTTTGTGATAGCGGCTCCTCCTTCCTTCCCTCACTGACCACCGCCGCCATCTGGGTATCTGTAGGAGAAGCCGCCGTCGCCACCGGTTCCTGTGTGGTCACCTCTCGCTAATATATTCATGTGTCTGGTGACTTATGGGGGATGTTTGTACCTACGGATGTTATTGACGACGACTGTATGAGTGTCAGTCTCCCCTCTCCCTCCCTCCCCTCCCCTCACCGTGGGAGACAAACATCTAACAGAGTCTCTCATGACCACTTGTTCATAGAGTCTCTGTTACCTTGAGTGGAGTCTCTCTCTCTCTCTCTCTCTCTCTCTACTATTGTTTGGTCGCTTATTACATATTGTCTTATTATTCACCTGTTTTTTGAGTCCCATTTATTGTTATTTTTTATATAAATTTACCTTCTCTTTTATTACTGATATTGAATTGAATTGAATTGAAACAGTTTATTTAACCAGAAAAACACAGATACAGAGTGGATAATAATAACAATATTAACATGGCTGAGCCAGTTGAGAACCTGAGCTCTCTTTTAGGCACCTGATATATACTATACATTTATTTCAAGGAAGTATTATGTAACATTTAGTATCATCTGGAATAGTACAATAGCATGGTGGTAATAAGAACATCTCATAATGTTACCACGGTCATCACATCAATATTTATTTATTTATTGTATTTATTTATTTATTTATTTGTTTTTAGTTAATTTTTTGTATTCATATTATAAATATATGCACAAATTACAGTAGAATTTAAAAACATAAGTATAATGGGGGAGCAGTACAACATGGGTTGTACAGTATTAAGGTTGAACAAGAGGACAGAGCTGTCAGGATTATGTCAAGTTGGCAAATATGTTTATTGCAATGGTAATTTCTTATCTATTTACATGATAATTTCTGATAAAACAGTTTTGATGGTACAATAAAAGCAGGTACCGGTCGGGTCAACACATCTATTTCCTGTCAAACACCAAGAGGCTGAGGAGAAGTTGGTGTCAGAGGGAAGACTACTGGGCGAGAAGAGCTAAACATAGGGCGGAGGGCGGGGTTGGGGAGTCCTGGAGGAAGGGGAGTCCAGAGTCCATGGGAGGGGGAGAGGGTCCTAGGGGACAGGATTCCAAGGGAGAGGGAGTCCTGAAAGAGGGGGAATCCAAGGGGGGCGGGAGCCCTTGGGAGAGAGGATTCCTGGAGGAGGGGAAGTCCTAAATAATGGGGGTGGGAGTTTTGGGGAAGGGGAAGTCTTAGGGGGAAGGAGAGCCCTGACGAAAGGAAAAGTCCCAGTGAGTTAGGGGATTCCTAGGGAGAGGATGGAGAGGGTTCAAGGAGGAGTGGAAGTCTAGTAGGAAGGGGGGGTCCTGAGGGAGGTGCTACAGGGGGCAGAACAAAAAACAAACAAAAACAAGACCCAATATTTCCCCGTATTTCAGTGTAAACATTGTCGAAAATACTACACCACTGCAGTACTTTATTACCTATATGTATGCGGTGTGTCGCTCCCTGTTATCTCCCCTGCATTATAGGGTTTACATCATCGTCGTCATCACCAAACACACTGTACGTTCTATGATTTATCTGGTAACTGATGGATGATTCACACCACACTATAACTATTTTTAATCAGCATACGTAAATACCCTTACCAAGACGTACGTACCACACCAACCACCGTAGTTTATTAATATACCGTCACGTCCGTCAGCATACATTACGGCCAAGTATGAGGAGACCAAAGAAAATTCATAGAACTTCGGTGTAGATTAGAATATAAAGTTCATTACGTATTCAGAGGAATGTAAATGAGTGGGACTACTGGTGACCATAGTGGTGTTGAAGGCCATCTTAAGGTTTTGTAGCGTAGGGAGAGGCCATAAAGATCACTCACTCGCCTGTTGTGAGTGACCAAGACTGCCATAACGAAGCAAGAGACTAACCTAACCTAACCTAACCAGATATGGAGGGACAGAGAGACATACACCCATATATGAACGAATAGATTTATAGATATATACACAGATAAAAAAAATAGATTATTTCAACTGTTAAATTGACCAACAAACTTTTAATGTTAATATACAACCTTTTAGACGTGTGTGTGTGTGTGTGTGTGTGTGTGTGTGCTTCCTCTTTCTCTTTCATCTCACTTTATCCTTCTGTTTAGTTATCTAGCTTCCTCTATTTTCTCTCCATCCTTGTTATTATTCTGTGGTCTAACTCCCACGTTCTTCTGCTCTCTCGGTTCTCTTCTTAAACTGTTTATCAGAATATTCTTGTATCGTCTCCATCCCTCCCTCGGGTTCTCAGGTCCAGTCTTCCTTCGACCACGTGGTGATGCCAAGTTTACACAGCATCTTTAAGTCTTATTTGGTGTTTTTCTAAAATGAAATTGTTCCCAAAAGGTCAAAATATTACATAGTAGTGATAATAATTACTGAATATGTATATAATGTTAGTTTCTTGGTATACAGCTGAAAACTGTTATGAACATTTTATCGGGATGTTTCTTAATTTGTGAAATACTGCCAAGAAAATAATAGTTTACGATTGAAGATCATTTGATACACAAACACTGATATTACTTAATGAATTTGTTTATAAAACAATTATTTCCATAAGGTAGGTAGGGCGATATGACACTGCTCTCTGATTGGTCACAAGAAGAGTGCTACTGCTCCTTAGCTCCGCCTACCTGGCTTGTAAGCCAATCACGCTCCTGCGACGCGCCACCCGAAAGGCTCATAAACTGATGGCGCTGATTTTCAGCAGTCATTCCACATCATCACGCTGTCTTGTGTGTCATGTTGAGGACCTGAACCATCCAGTTAAACTCGAGGATTCTGTTGAAGAAAATTACGTCTTCCCGTGTGGAATCAGAGATGATGGGCGGATTGGAGGAGCGTCTCTCTTTCTTGGTGGGGCAACAGGTGCCCGTCAGCCCCCCCTGCAGCCCTTCTTCAGGCAGCCTGACGCCACCCTCACCCCACCACCATAGCACAGAGACCAAGGACGGCGATTCTGGTGAGTACATTACTAATATTGTTTAAGGGATGCAGTAATAGAATTAAGACATTCATGTAATTTGCACATTAACAGTATATGAAGAAACAGTGTTGAGGTGATATGATGTGCAATACATACATACAGTACATCTGTTTCTTTTCAAAGATTTTTGGTTGGATTTATATATTAAGTTGAACTACATCACCGATCATTGTCTTCAAACTATAGGCCTACATCACATTTGTCTACAAGTTGATGTGAGATTTTTTGGGTTAACAATTATATTTTTCTTGCAGTCACTGAGAAGGCCTTGGAGGCTCCGGCAGCTACCTCAACACCGCCTCCAAAGGGTACGGCGGCCAGCCAGCCCTCGGCGGAGCTGAGACGGTATAGGACAGCCTTTACCAGGGAGCAGATCACACGCCTGGAGAAGGAATTCCTGAGGGAGAACTATGTCAGCCGCCCGCGACGCTGTGAGCTGGCCAAGGAGCTGGGACTCTCAGAAGCTACCATCAAGGTAATGGCCATTATTATAGTATGTGTGTCAAGATAGTGAATAAACTTTATAGTTGTCAGTGTATGAACTCACCTTCTGCAATAATGTAACTCAAACATCGGTGTGACGAAGAAGACTAAATTATTGTATCTCCTCCGCAGGTGTGGTTTCAGAACCGACGCATGAAGGACAAACGACAGAGGATGGCCGTGGCTTGGCCCTATGCTGACCCGACCCTCGCCGCTTACTTGTTACACGCCGCAGCTGCTACAGGAGCCTACCCTCCCTACCTACCACCCTCGCCCATGTCCGACAGCCCTTGGGTAGGGCCACCAAGTGTGGGACCCACGCCGCATCTCTCCTACACCGCTCCACACATGACCTACACACCTCCATCACAGCCGCCTTCACTCAGCCGATTTGCTCCATATCCCCGCCCGCAGCCGCCCATGCTGTCCCCACCGTACACCATGCCTGCCGACCTCCACGCTCCTCATCCACGGTCTCCCACATTACCCACCCCCACACCCGTCCTCCCACGCCCATCCATGTGTCACGGACACCTGTCTGCTTGTCCAGCCTATACCTCCCCTAAGGACGCCTGCCTCTGTGGTTTCATGTACCCTAGTCTAACACAGAACCTAGGCCACCACATGCCTCTCTCTTGCCCCAACCTATCTATGACGACTCACAAAACAAATTCCCCGCTCTCATCTCCCAGTTCCTGCACCCCAGTATCATGCAGTAGCAGCAACAGCCCAAGGCAAGAAGCCTCCCCTACACCCACCTTCACCAAGAACAACTCCCCCTCCACCACCACACCCAGACTCTTTAAGCCTTACGATGATGAACCTTTAGCTAGAGTTTAGAACTTGTCTCATTGTGTGGTTTCTATATTATCTTTGTTTGTCACCTGTGATGTGCTGTGCAGTGCTTTATATTTTATTATGAACTTATTTATATACTTATGAATAAAAATTTTATTGTTGATATATCTTGTTTTGTTCCTCCTTCACCGATAGTCTTGGGTGAAATTTTCTTATCCTCTGAACACAAAATATTAAGTTTCTCATGTTTCATACTTTTATAAGACATTAGATATCATAAATGACAAACATCAGTATAAGGGCATAATTACCTCCTTTATTATGTATGGTATGTCTTCAAAAGCTGTAAAATATCTCCAAAGAACTCCCACAAACATAATTAAAATGAAAATAAAAAAAATAACTAGAGAAAATTTTTACACCAATGTCACATCAACCTTCATCACAGTCTGTCTATGCATCATCCATGAGTCAAAGTAGAACCAATATTAACACGAGAGTAAAGCTAATGTGGGCTGATCTATCTAACTCTTCAAGATCTTAAGTAACAGAATTATAATTGTATTTTGTCCAGTGTCATGGTATTCTGTCCAGCGTAATCATATCTGGAATAATTTTGTCCCAAGAAAAAATAATATATGGGACTGTTTTAAATGGAGAGTTGTGCAGGGGTCATAGTGGGAGGTTTGTCCGTATTGAACATCTGTGAACACCAAGAAACACTGACTTTACAATCACATTCTTGCGTCAGAAGGAAATACAAATAAAATCTAGGGCTGCGCCACACCTCAACCCGGCACAGGGTAAAGTACAGGTGTGTGGGCTACCTGGAGGGTCAGGTCAAGAGTTCGTGGAGGAGGGTCATTAAACCTCTTCTGGTAGTAGCCAATGGTCATTATAACGTACGTGTCAGATTCTCTCACCTCGAGGACCCAAGCCATAAAAACGGTATTGTGTTACTTAAATGTAAATGAATATGAAATATAAAACAGACAGGTAACTCGAGACCTTCTGAATTAGTTACTGAAGGTGTGAGATTAAATATCTATAGTATATTTGTCTCTAGGTTCAGTGTTTCTTATTTTGTGACTCATCATAATTTTCGATGAGTAACAATGTGTGTCATTCCACACGTGATCAATAAATAGATCAGGAAAATCAACAGCAAACAATTCCAAAATAGTTTATACTTTTACTTCTTCCTAACATGCGTGAGATAAACTATACAAACAATTCAGTTGGAGTTATCCTTTGCTGTGTTCTAAATGATAAAAAAGCTCAGTTTTCAAGCAGTTCCCGAGTGACATACAAAAACAGCCTGGTTCACACACTTCCGCCAGAGTGAGGTGTATCCGGGTTGTGATGTTGGTGAACGACGTTTGCTTCCACCAGGCGGCGCTGACAATATTATTTTTTATAATTTATATGAGAAAGGATTATGTGGAGATTAGGCTAGTCACTAACCTCTATTAAAACGACATCTTGTCTAGTAATGGACTCATACTGTTTAACATCAGCCTATAAAAGCGGGTTGCATAAGTGAACTGTACACTAAACCTTCAGTACACAAAGAAACTACCCAGCCACGACTGCACTCGACCGCCATCATTTACCCAACTGTAAAATAAGGTACCAATTTGCACCTTGACTTACTTTAGCACAAGAGACGAGCTTTATACCCCCTTAGCCGCCCCTTCCATAACATAGGACTATTCTGATTAAACTTCTCCTCGCTCTTGATCTGAACAACTGTGTATCTGACCCAGAATATCGCGTTAGCATGAAATTAGGTTAGGTTAGGTTAGGTAATCATCCGAACAGTTCCCTGATAGTCAATAATAAACCCAAACTACCTTCCAAGGATCGGGATGTCGACTGCACCATTTTGTCGATGAAGAATTTGGCTTGACAGAGAGAAGGTGAACCAGAAGTCGATTGGGAGTCGAGATGAGTGTCGGGGAGGCAATTGTGAGCGAGGTCTTGAAGCGACGGGAAGAACTTAGGTACAGAGAGAGAGAGAGAGAGAGAGAGAGAGAGAGAGAGAGAGAGAGAGAGAGAGAGAGAGAGAGAGAATATGGCGTGGTTGACTCTCCCTTGTGAGTGATGGCGCTTTTACGTCGCCACTCTCCCCCGCCACCTCGCCGTCGCCCTCCTACCATCAGCGAGGATTATTGCCTGCGTTCAGTGAAACCCGACATGGAGTGAGATAGTGACGAGGTGGTGAAGGTGTGGCGAGGGAGGGGAGATGTGGCGAGGGAGGGGAGATGAGGCGAGGGAGGGGAGATGAGGGAGTAGAGGTGAGGCGAGCGAGTAAAAGTGTGGCGAGGGAATAGAGATGAGGCAAGGGAGTAGAGGTGTGGCGAGGGAGTAGAGGTGAGGCAAAAGAGTAGAGGTGTGGCGAGGGGGTATAGAGGGAACAGAAGAGGTGGCAGGAGCTATTTGACCCTCTGAGTAATAACACAAAGATAGGCCTACCGTCCTCCATGCACGGTACTATATCAAACTAAAATTCACTGACTATACTGTAGATCATTATGTGTATCCCTAATGTCTTATATACAAAAAAAAACAGAAGAAAACACACGACTCATTATAAAAATCACCCAAGATGCTTTTGATCTGTGTATGACTAAAAACTATGCTTGTAAGGGTGTGTCTTCTTAGCGCGATGATCTAGTTCCCGGTACTGTATAGTTTAAAGAAGTTTAGTTGGAGATCGCAGCTCAAAAGGAGACCGACACTCACAGCCCAGCCACCAAGGTCTAATAGAGGCTGTGTGACCTGAAGACTCTGACTCTCTCTCTCTCTCTCTCTCTCTCTAAGCAAAACAAGCTGCTGAATCACGATAGACGCTCAGTATATAGTGACGGAGATTTTACGTCTGTCACATAAATATTGAGAAGTCACATTCGGCAACAAAAAAAAAAAAAAACTTTCAAATATATAAGATACCGAACTAAGTAATCTGAGTTACCGATATTATAGTTAGAGTTGAATTAGTTGGATTAGTTGTAGATTATAGCTTCCCCAACTGATTTCACCTGATGATTAAACACCTTAACACTAACCTAACCTAACCTAATCTTTTCTAATCTAACCTAACCTAACCTAACCCCAAGGTATTTTAGTGATAGGGTGTTAATTCATTAGGTGAAATAAGCTGGCTGGGTGAATCTCGTGACCCAGCGAACACAAATGTGATGGTGGTAGTCTCGAGGGAGTTGACCTGTAGGGTAGTGTGGGCGGAGCGGTCATGACGAGGGTGTTATTGGTCCCACAGGAGTGTACCCACCCACCCATCCACCCGGCACGAGACGCCACCCATCAACCTCCTGTAACAGCTACTGGAGGCTCTCTCTCTCTCTCTCTCTCTCTCTCTCTCTCTCTCTCTCTCTCTCTCTCTCTCTCGAATCTGATATGAAGAAAGAAAAAAATCCGATTAACACTGACACACATTACCGACTGTTCTCTATTCCTGCTGACAGTGGTGTTGACTGACATACACTCAAGATGTTCATGAGTTAGCGATTATACTTCCTTTCGGTGTTGGTGTAATCTTTCGTGTCTTTGCTATGGATACAACTCAAACCTCTACCATCAGCAACTCCTTTTCTATGGTATCAGCGACCTCAAATTTAATATTATTCATTGATAATCTCAGTTTAACAGTTAAATTAGTATATATAAGGAGGCCACAACTATTTTACCTCTCTACTTCAAGTTAATGTTAAAATATGTATCGAGCTTCAGAGGATTAAACATACGGTAAAATTAACAGTGTAAAACTTATGTTAATTTATCATTATATAATTTAATTTTTATCTTCCTGTTCACATTTAAATACTAATGCAAACTTTAAAGAGCCCTACACGTCCATACTGAGATATTGAAACGCTATATCTTGACCCCAGGAAGTGAAATAACTTAAATATCCCTTAAATAGGCATAATGTGACGATCAAATTTACCTTTCTGTAAATGTAAGTATAGATGCCATAGCCTACAAAACACTAAACAGGGGATCTAATTCGATTCCATTTACAAAACATCGTAAATCAACTCCCATATGACCAAATATGGGATTCGATCGCCTTTGTCTCTTCTTTCGGCATCTATAAAACAAATGACGACCGACATTAACACCACGTGTGGGCGTTATCGCAGCTGATCCCGAGTTTTTCAAAAGAATCGACTTACGAAGCTCAGAGAATTTAAGTCCAGGTCTCTCCTTTAGGTTTCGATTCCCCATGAGAGCAATAAACTAATTCACACTAACCCGACACTCCCTGGCCACCATAAGGGGATCAGAACCCATTACTGCCGCCGCTGATTCTGGAGTGATGAATGGAAGACACGCACGCGCGCACGCGTACACACACACACACACACACTGGAGTAGGGTATTTAACCACTGAGTTTAATATTAGTTGTTGTGATACGAGAGTGTGTGTTTATTTGGTTCTGGATGTGAACACTGAGAGGAAGGGAACAGAATGAAGGGACGGAGGAAGAGGGAACAAACTAAGATGAAGGAAAGGAGGAGGGAAAGGAAATCAGATGAAGGAAATAAGGATGATAGGTAAGAAATAAAAAATGGGTGGAAGGGTGATGGGGAAGATGGTTGACGGAAGATGGTTAGGGGAAATGTGGGTAGGGGGAAACATAGGTGAGGGGGAAACATGGGTAAGGGGTAGAGATAGGTGAGGGAGGGAAACATTACTACCACCGTGGTATTTATGGGTTGTGATGCCTCGGTAATGACCAGCTAGCGTGATGAAGTACCCGGGTAGTGCTAATTATAGTTATCATTCTCCTGAGACTCTCTCTCTCTCTCTCTCTCTCTCTCTCTCTCTCTCTTGCTCTCGGAATGACAGAATTACCGCCTGATCCACCACAGTGTCACGGTTCACTTCCTATTGCACCGGGCGACGATTCCT